ATTGCACAAGCAAAAACAGCTGTTCATGACTGTTGCGTTAGTTCTCCGTTTCTTTTTTTACGCCTTGCTGACCTTTCATGAGCAGAAATTTCGCCAATATGCAGATCGGAATCATTTCATGAAATCACAAGTCATTTCATGAAATCATAAAGACTTAGTTAAGTAACGTAAATCTGTAAAGAACATTGAATAGGACAATTTTTTAATGAAAAAAATATTTAGCAAGAAAGTAAACAACCACTCGGAAAAGGCAATCTCAAATATTCAGCGAGATGCATGCAGCTTAGGAAGAACAGGCCTGGCATAGCTGTACTCGGCTTATTACAGCTTTCCAGGCAACATGGTTAACTGGCGACACTTAATAAGACCAACCGGATATTCCTGGCATTCATAGCACATAATTTAAAATTGCTGAAATTAAAAGTTCTTTGAGAAATCTTTTAGCATTTGCTTTATGTTCCAAAAAAAAAAAGAAAAAAAAACAGGGCTAATCTAATTCTTTTCTTTTGGCGCTGTTAGTGCAGTAGGAGCTGGCCGAATTTTCACTCTTTTTTTCAAAATTTTAATCTCTGCGCAATTTTTGGACCTCCTAAGTTGGTTGTTATTTGCAGGGATCACATTCAATACACTTAAGCCATTCGAGGGGCATGTCTACGTTAAAGGATTATACGATCATACGGAATGTCGCAGCGATGAGGGTGGACGTCCGGTGGCAAGCATCGATTTACCGTTCGAAACTTGTAGCGTGGCCCGTACGCGATCAATGAATCCACGTGGAATCTTTGTCAGTACCACCATTGTTATCACGTTCCATCCCCAGTTCCTCACTAAAATCGACCATGCGTACCGAGTACAGTGCTTTTACATGGAAGCCGACAAAACAGTAAGTACAGAAATCGAGGTTTCCGAGATAACCTCTGTCTTCGCCACGCAAGTAGTACCAATGCCTATTTGCAAATACGAGGTTCGTTTTAAATTATTTTTTATACGTTTTTTGCAGCTATGCAATGCAGAAAACGCATATTGACGAGAGGTTGTCTGCTTGTGTGTGTGTGTGTGTGTGTGTGTGTGTGTGTGAGTGTCTGTGTGTTCGTCTGTACCGATTTTTCATCTCGAGACCGGCAAAAGCTACGGGGCTGAAACTGCGAGGACATAATCTACATGCACGTACGGGCCCCATCCCCAAAATGGGCGGTCCTACCCGCGTGGTACCCGCGGACATAATCTGCATACACGTACGGGCCCCCGTCCCCAAAATTGGCGCCAAAACCCGCATGGTACCCGCGTACGGGCCCCCCAAAGTTTTTTTGAGGTCAGTTCATAACTCGAGGATCTGAGAAG